CCCAATAGCTCAGTCAGACCTGAATTACTAGGCTCAGATGGTAAAGGAAATAGAAGCCCCAGAACAAAGCCCTCCACTCGTCCCCACAGCTGCCTCTGGTTCCCTGAGAACAGAGCCTGCTCCGCTCGGAAATGCTGAAAAGCATCATCCAATGTCAGCACTGAACTTGGGGAAGAAAAATGAAAGTTGTAACTGCAGCCTTGTTCTGCATGTAATTGTTAATAGAATTGTGGTTTCTCTTTTTCTTTTGTAATCTTGTTTTCCAAATTAAAATCCCTCTGTGACTCAGCCCCCGCCTGGTCTGAGAAACAAAGAGTGCTGCAAGATCAACCAGGAGCCCCAGCCTGGGAGAAGGCCTGGCACCCGAGGCACAGGGACATGCAGGAAAACTGCAGTTCTAGCAAGCGCTGGACCCCCTCCCGGGGTCTGCAGACCTTGTCTCCCCCAGGCCTCCAGGGCTGTTTCAATGGTGTCGGCTGGGCCTTGTGTGATTCATGAGCCCCTGAACAGACGCCCTGATAGGTGCTGTGAGCCTCACACATCACCAGGGTGGATGCCCTGGCACACTCGGCATGGCACATCTACCCTTTCAGCAAAGCCTCTCCCACCCCATCCTCTCCCAACAGATGTGTGGAGCCCGACGGGCTCGGGTTGGGGTCTCAGCCCTCTCAGTGGCTAGCTGTGTCGGGGTGAACACGCTTGCTCATCTAGGCAGTGGTTTAGCAATCTGAACCTTGTGAGACTATGTGAAGAACTGACATCTTGTGTGCAAGCTAGCAGAGAGCCCGCTGCACCGGGAACCGAACAGAGAGCTGCTTCTCAGAGCTCATCACACTGTGGGAACCACGCATTCCACGCAGCTCCAAAGGAAACAACTTCCCCCTGACCTTCCTTCTCTTTGGGAGCTGTGATCCTGCGTGCAGGGCGTGTGTCTGGTCAGTTTTGGAGCAGCACGGCCTCCCTCAGGGGACTGCAAAGGGTACTTCAGAGGCTTTGCCCAGAAGACTGCAGGCTGGCTCTAGGGTTTTCTCTAGCTGAAGGAAACAAAACCTAGCTTTCAGGCCACTGAAGCCAGGGGACATGCATGGGCTGCCTCATGAGCCCTCTCTCTCTGTCAGGAGCTCTCCCTGGGCCTCACCTACATCTCCTACATGAGGTGACAATGGCTTCACAGGCCATGGGAGGGACACCATGGGAAGGGCTTAGAGGATGGGCCTGGCAAGGCCCTGGGTAAAGTGCAAATGACGGTGGCTAGAGACTCTCTGTGTAGATGAGGGCTTGCTTTTGGGGAGCAGGGGATGAAAGGGCAACCCCAGTGATTACCAGGGGAGAAAGGAAGAGGTCTTCCATCCCACACACCCTGGGGCTCAGAATCAGTCAAATTCCAAGTTCTGGGAGGTGCCGTGGGGCTGTCTGGGGAACGGGGTCCCTGCCAGACCAGAGCAAAGGCCCCTGGGTGTCCTTTTACCTATGAGGCAGCAGCTCCCAAGCTGGACAGGTAGACGGAGCCTCTGGAAGGAACACTGTTGAGGGCACTGGCCTCCCAACTGCTCCTCAGACGTCGTCTCATCTCTTGCACAAACTTGTGCCAAGAGGACTGGTGACTCAGGCCTGGGATGGACAGGTCCCCTAGGAACTGGAGAGCTGAATATTTATCAGCTGGATTGCTGTGGACTCAGGGCGCTCTGAACTCCAAAAGAACTTCCAGGACTTATTTTTCCCCAGATGATCTTGACGACTGTGCCGTGCCCTCCCTGGCCCAGTGTCTCCGTCTGTGGTGTTTTCCTTGCTCAGATAGGGTTTCATAGAGGCAGGTTTGGTAAAATGTATTTCCGTTCCGATAAAATATATTAAAATATATTTCCATTCTAAAGAAGTTGGTGCCTGCTTTGAATTAATCACCTTGATGCACAGTAATTAGATATAAATGAATCAAGAAGAGAGTTTTTCTTTCAGGAAGGAGGTACTGATTCTGTTTAATACAGTACAGTGGCATATACTGTGGGCCTGAAGATTTCCCCCCAAAATCAGACTTCCACTTTCTAAAACGTTAACTCTTACTCTGCTTCAATTCTCTAGGAGCAGCAGCAGTTCAGAAAATTTGAGCATGCACAACAAGAGAATTCTCTTACTTCCCCAGAATCCAAGCAGAAGCCAAGTAAAACAAGAGGACGTGAGCCTTTCAGGCAGCGCCCGGCACTGGGACTCGGAGAGATAACTGTGGCCTCAGAGGACAGCGGTCCAGCTTCAAAGGCTGCTTTGCTAACTTTGGGACTGGAGCTCTTGAGATAATTTTTAGATTCCTCCTCTCTAGATCTCTCTCTCCTCTGTCTCCCTCCCCTTCTCTTCCCATCTCTCTTTCTTTCCCTCTCTCTCTTCTTCCATCCTTCCTTCCCTTTCTCCCCCATTTCCTCTCTCCCTCCTTCCTCTCTTTCTTTATCTGTGCTTCTCTTCCCTCCCTCTCTTTCTCTGTCTCGCCTTCCTCCTTCTCCCCTCCCTCCTTCTCTCTGTATCTCTCCCTCTGTTCCTCTCTTCTCTCTGCCCCCCCCCCATGGTTCTGCCTGACTTGTCTTTATCTAGGGGTCATTATTTGTGAACACTGAGGCTGCAGCTCCCTTTCTTTGCCTTCTTTCTGTTCTACCTGTTATAAAAGATTTTGTAACCAATGAAGGAATTTCCTTTCCCACCTGCTGCAATCACCACCACCTTCATCTGGAGAATCTGATACCACTGCTGTGTCTGAGCCCCTGGACTCAAGACCCAACCGAGGCAGGCAGACTTCAGTGATTCCACCGACTTTTCTGTGCAGAGTTTACTAGAATAAACCAAGAGGCTTCATTGATTTGAATAAAAATATAGAGTTGTTTCTGGTGCAGGGTTCAAAATTAGGCCTTGCATTTCTCCAGGGGCTAGTAATCAGTCACAGAGGTATCTGGGTGGGCAAGCTATTTTCAAAAAACCTTTTTCGATCTTTGCCTAACTAATTAATAGATAAGCCTTAACACCCACCCATCTGAACCTGAAAATATTTGTAATTCAAACTTCCTGTCTAGATCTGTGGTTTTTAAAGGTCCCTGGACCACCATACGCATCCCCTGGGAGCTTATTAGGAATACTAACTCGAGCTCTGCCCCATTCAGCCTGAATCAGAAATGGGGGTGGCCCAACAGCTTGTATTTAAAAAGCCCCCCAAGTGATTCTGAGGCACACTCACGTTTGAGAACCCCTGCTTCAGAGTGGAGACAGCCTTTATGACTGTCCGCAGTGTCAGATGCGAAGTTCTTATATGTGATGGCAGGAAAAACGTATGCAATAAGCGGCAACCCCTGATAGCCATGACCTAGTGCAGATCTGTAAATAGAACCAGCATCCCCACCTCACAGGGAAAAGGGAAAAGCACCCCACACGGGTCTCCTGCGTCCTGAACGAGCCCTGAAGCACAGCAGGCGGGGGAGGGGGAGCTGGGTCTCCCCGCGCCACTAGGGGGCGCGCTGGCCCTTCCAATGCGGTCACTGAGAGACGCAGCGTTTTTTGTCTTTGAGGTCCTGTCATTCTCTGTATAAACAAGTTACGTTCAAGTGTTTAGGATATAAATTACGACCATGCCGGCAGCCTCGGAAGGAATGTAAACACAGCACTGTGGTCGGAGCAAACTCTGAAACTGACTTCATAATTTATAGCAGGCCCCGAGCAGCTCAGTATAAAAGGAAAGAAAAAGCCCTATTTAACTGCAAATATAATGGAGACACACAAAAAGTTTAAATCACTGCTTAATTTTGGGAAAGATAGAAAGCACGAGGATTAGGAAGAGAGTTAAGCCTTGTGAGACAAGAGGTTTGACTAGGGAGACTGTCTTTGGACTGAAATTCACTTGGAGTACAAAAACCTGCGTGCAGATATCTACTGAGTGGCATCAAGTGCCTGGTTATTGATTAGGAAAAAGACCTTTAAGAGACGAGGGACAAAGGAGAGTTTTCAAAAGCGAAAGTAAAAACAAAACCACCACCCAGCCCGAGGTGGAGAAGAGCAAAGCCTGAGTGCCGGAGAGCGCTCAGACGTTCAGGGCCAGGCACTGCCCAGGACCTAGGGCTGGTCAGACAGGGGTGGGCTGGGTGAGGGCACCGTCCTGCCCAGCGGCCTGGCCCTTTCCTCTGTGTCACTCAGCTTCACCAGCCCTTGCCTGTAGCATTCAGGACTGGAAACCTTGGGAGGCTGAGGGAGAAAGTCACAAGGGCTGTGAGCGGATCCCCGAGGGGAAACATCAAATCCCTTGTAAAAAGGAAGGAGGGGTAGGGGGCCGAAGGGACAGAGAAGTGGGCGGGTTTGGGGTGCCAAGGCTAAGCCAGGCGAGCGAGGCTCCGAGTGGGAGGGTGGGGACAGGGAGCCGTACAGAACGTCTTGCCAGGGCCAGGTTCTGCGCCTCCCCAAGGAAGTGAAAGAAACAGGATGCTGGGGACTGCAGGCGGCTGGCCCCAGCCTTCCTCCTCGGGAATCTTCAGGATCTGACCACCTCTGAAAAGGAGATCAGCATCCACACAAACCTTTGACTTGCCAAGGGGAAGCGGGTCGTGGGTTTTGGCACCTAACCCTGCCTGGCTGGCTGCTTGGCCGGCCTGTCCCTCGGTGCTGGTGGGTGAGAGGAAAGAGCAGAAGGCGAAGCTCCCTGAGCGCAGGAAAGAGAACACAAGGGGCACTTCATTGCTCCTAATCCAGAGAACTCTTGCCTTTCATTATCTTGCCTGGTTTCCTTTTAAGTCCCTTTCACCTTCTGGTTTCTGTTTAGCCAGAAAGAGTGAGGGTGAAGGGAGGGAAGAAAGAACAGAGCTCGTCCCTCCTCTCCTGAGAAGACCCGCAATCAGAACCTGGCCTGTGTTACTCAGCACAGACCCCGCACCAAGGCAGTTACATAGCTTGGGGGGAGGTGTATTGTTGCAGAGTTGGCTGGGGGAGACAACCTGGTGATGTCAGGATGCTGGGAGGAAATAGGTCTCTAGGACGACTATTTGTTACATACATTTTATTGAAAAATTTTACATCAAAATAGTTTGGCAAACTGTAAAAGTATACATAAGTGCAAATATGCCCTCCTTTTAAAATACAAGCAAAGTGTGAGTATACATGAGATAAAAATATCTTTAAAATACGGTGGTAGAAAATTACCTTGTAAAAAACGTTGTATTGTCACAATACTGAAAACCACGTTCTTAAACTAGACACTTTGTTTCTAAATACTTTCTTAATACTGTTCTTTGGCACCTGTATCCAAACGTGTTTGGCGAATCCGAATCGGAACTCATTCCTTAGCTAGGCAACGAGATGCGGCTTTCTTGAAATCTTGTGTTTAGCCCTTGCCTTTTTGAAAAGCACATACATTTTTATAAACAAAGAAAAACACACAGACGACTTGTCTGCGTTTTTCAGACCCTGATTACTGAAGGCAGTGAAGATCCCCGAGTTACATGTTTATGTTTTTCATGTGGTAACTTTTTACCATCTCTGCTAAGAAGCCGAGTTCTCAGCTCTTCCCCTCGTTGGAGCCTGCACACATTTAGGGCATCACCATGCCAGGGCTTGTCCTACCAATGGTAGATAAGTGTCAGTGAACAAAGCTGGCCTGGGGATTCTACGTGACTGGTGTGCTACTCACTGCTATGGGGTGCACTTTACGTGAGTCCACCTCAGTTCGTCCCTCCCCACCCCCACCCCCCATGGAGAAAGTGGCCTCCCGGCTGCCTCCCTCCATTCACATGACACAGGGCTTAATATCCTGACAGACGCTCTGGTGATGGTGGTGGTGGTAATACGGCCCACTAGCAGAGGGATGGAAAGAAGAAATGCCGTTAAAGTTGAGGATGAAATCTTTTCTGTCGCACACTGGGGTGGAGTGATGCTGGTATCGAGGCAGTCCCACTGAAAGAAGAGAGAAAATAAACTACTTTCAGAAACAAATTTGTCCAGGTGAGGATGAAGCGTATTATTTTTTAAATTTTAATTTAATTGGTGTCTTATTTTGACTCAGGATAAGAAAGGGGCCAGTCTAGTGCTATCAAACCAGTAGAGGAAACCCAGGTCTGGAAGTTTCTCAGAGTTTGAAACTATAGGTCGTCAGACAGTTCTGGAATCATTCAGTTTGGCTTTGATGTACCCAGAGTGCCTGCTCCCCTCTAAACCAGGTTTTTTTTTTAAATCCTCACCCGAAGATATGTTTTACTGTTTTTAGAGAGAGGGGAAGGGAGAGAGAGAGAAATATCTATCAATCCTTTGCACCCCCACCTGGGTTTCACGGCAGCCGAGGTATGTGCCCTGCAACCTCCCAGTGCATGGGGGATGCTCCAGGCAGCTGAGCCACCCCGGCCAGGGCTAAACCAGGTTCTCAGGAGCCTGAATTCCCTACTAGTCCTGGGGTCCTGGACAAGCGTCATCACTGGAGCAGCAGGGACACCGGGACAATTTAACCCAGGCTCTTGTTCTGGGTCCCTGAGCACAGGCCTTCCAGAACCCAAGGCCCCCACACCAGAAACACTAGTGTCACCCTCACATCTTGTTTCCCAACTAACTGGCGGGTCAGAAAAGCAGGCCACAGCAGGGATATTTCCTGTGCCTAAGCAGGGACACAAAACAGTCACAGCGCTAGAGAAAGAGCCCGGAAAGAAAGCGCGAGTCTCCGTGGGTCCTGAGGGCTCACACTCCCTCTTATGAAGACCAGGCTGCAAGGAGCAGAGAAAGCCCCTCGCTGGGAACTCAGCTGGAGACCCTTCTGCATGTGCAGGGAGCCCCTCAGAGAGGAGGGAGAACATCTGCACCCCTCTTCCTCCGGGCTGCTCCTGGGCGAAGGGATGAGCCCAGAGGCCACTGAGCGCCAACCAGCTGCCGCCCTTTGCTTTTGGTTTCTCCGCTCCCGTGAGCCCGACCACGCGGGACGGGGAGGGTCGGCCAGGGGTGGCCGTGGGGGCCTGGGACCCGGCTCTTCCCGGACCGGGCCTCTCTCCATGCCGGGCTGGGGTAGGCTGCCGGCCCGAGGCTTTCTAGTCAGCCGTGCGATGTGGGAACCGTAAGCTGCACACTGGGGCCAGGCGTGATTCAGTTTCTGAGCGTAACTGTGGCCCGCGGCGCGTGTGCCCGGCTCGCGTCGCCTTGGCCTGGCTGCATCCCACCTCCAGCCGGGAACCCGGCTGCTACGGCTCGTAGCCGGTGACCGACTGGGCCCACGTTTGTTGTCTGATCACACCCGAGGTTGCCAAACGCGCTGCAGTGCCCTCAAAGCAGCAACTGGCCCACGCGTGCCTGACGTGCGCGTGTGGCTCCACGCGCAGGTGCGCTCGCCCAGCCAGTCACAGCGCGTAGCGGTGCCAGTTCCGGGCCCCGAGTAGCGGACCCAGGCAGGCCCCGAGGGAGCGCCCGCATCTCCACGCGAGACCGAGGTCGGCGCTTTCCTGTGACCCGAAGGACAATTAAACGCTCCTTCCTTTTCCAAAGGCTCCCAGTATTTGACAAAGGGCGCAAAGCCTCTCCGAGCACCGGGGCCTGCCGCCTGCCCGAGGGGGAGCGCGCGGCCTGCGTGGGTGCGCTGCGGTGTCACGCTGTGTGCGTGTGTGTAGGTGCGCGAGTGTGCTGGGGGCAGGGTGCTCCGCGCCGCAGCTCGGCCCTGCTGGGCCTTGGCGCTCAGCAGGCCT